AGGACATTGTTGGTGACCAAGTGCACACTCACATTTAAATACAATCACAACAGCTGCTGTACAGAATAGAATTAATTGTACAAAATAAAGAAAAGCAAGGAATAGAAATAATAATAATAATAATAATAATAATAATAATAATAATAATAATAATAATAATAATATAAAGATTAGACCTCTCTAAATGACTTTCACCTGGCAAAGGAAAATGACATTATCTTCCTCTCTCCCTCATTCCCCACACATCTGTACTTAAAGTCTTGTTGAACCTGTAACAAGGGCAGAGGCAGATGCTATTTTTATAATTACAGCTCCTGTATATTTGCTCGTTGATTTTTCGTTGTGTTGCAGGCTTGTGTCTTCTATTAATAGAGGTTGTTGTGTTTTGTTTTGTTTTTTACTTGACCATAAAAATAAAGAGTAGAGCAGCAGAGTTATCTCTCCAAAAGGTAAAAGAAAATCAAATTACCTTGGAACTCATCAGAAGCCCTTTTGGATACCTAAGATATCTAGGACCAAAACTGCTTGTTGGTATGAGGAAACAAACAAGCAAACAAAGGCAGTTAGAGTAATTGGCTCTTAGGACACTAAAGCAGCCCCTCCTGAGCCTTGCTGCAGAATTGTGAGCAGCAGCTGTGCCACTGAGTCATGTTCAACAGAAGAGATGAGCTGGGGAAATATTTACACAGAGGTCCAGTATTTGGAAAGACTATACATTGAGCCTCCTTAGTAGTTGCTGTTTTTAGCAAAAGTTAAAGAGAAGCTTCAAAGAGCAGATTCCTTGTTGATTTGGAGAGCTGAAGTCTTTTCCCAAAGAATGTTGGAATTTGTCTTTAAAAAAATAAAAAGAAGTAAACGAAAATTCCAAATTCACCCCTTGTGCCAGGTCTCCAAGACAACAGAATGACACCTGGAAAGAATTAGGGGTTAGGATGACAGCCTGAAGGACAAAACTGTTGATAGTCTTCAGTTGTAGGTTGCTGCTTGTCTGTGGTTCACTCCCCTTTATGGACCACATGAATGCTGTACCAATTCTCGTCACCTGCATAAAACTCTCCCTTTGCTACACATCTCCGCTATTTAGTGGTACTAATGGAGGTTTTGTGAACAGAAATCCAGATCTTAGGGCAGAAGATGGAGGTAAGAATGTCACTCTTAGCTCTTTTGGAGACTTACCTTATAAACTTAGTCAATGCAAGAGCTGTTTGTACTTGTCTTACTCACAGTGAGTAATACCTTACTCTGTAAAGAAAGGCATGTGGTTAGTCAGTGTGTTTACTTCATCATTAAATTGCTAATAAATCCAAGCAGCAATGACTTTTTTTTGGGGTCAACTGTACTACTTAATGTGTTTTGATAGTCATGGTGAGAGAGGTGTAATGTATACAAAGCTGGAAAATAACCTGAAATACAACAGGATCCAAATACACATCCAACATGACCCATGAATTTAAGCATTTCTATGTTTCAAAAACTATAATGATTAATTGCTTTGGCCATAGAGATTTGGTCACTTGTCTGTACTTACATGTTTTTGACCAGAGTGAAATAAATAATTCCATGATCTTTCAAAGGGAGAACATCTTTTGTCATCAGATTTATTTCAAAGTCAAAAAGATACAAATATACTTGAATTTGCTACCAGTGAGCACCCAGTAACTTCAAACCATGCCCTTCCTTCAGGCTGATCTAATTCATCACTGTGTTTTGAGGTGGGAACTTTTCCACAGAGACAAGGACTTAGAAATGGAAAACAATAACATACAAACAAATAAACAAACAAAACCCCATGGGAACATTGTACATGTATGTGTGAAAAGTGAATGAGAACTTAGTCTGAATTTTTAATAGGAACATCAGTGAATTCATCAATTAAAACCACAATGAAAGTTCCTGTTCTGAAAACCAAAGGCTTTTTGACATGAAACTGCTCTGATAACTAATTCAACAGAACAGGTAGCAAAATATACTTTTTTTCTTCCAATAAAATTAAATACAGATTAAAATAAATAACAGAGAGCCTGTGAATGTCAACAAACCTTGCAGCTACCCTTTTGAAACAATTTTGCCTTTAAAATATGCTAAGATACTAAAAGAAAAATAAGAAAGATGAGGATGTAAATTCAGATAGACACTTAATGATAAGAACATCTAGGAATTCAATCAGCTTGAATCAGATCTGTACTGAAATCCTCCCCAAAATCTGTAGAGGTCCTTAAGGTTGAAACTGTATGTTCTGGGTTTTCAAGAGTGCTCGGTTTTCTTTAATATTAATAGATCAAAAGATAATCAAGGTCAAAAATAATTTGTTGCCTGCAGGGTAGAGACATGTAGTGATTATGCAATCAGAAAAGATGTAACTATTTAGGTAAATTATTTTTGGAGCCTTAGACCATATTGCAAATAGGTGAATATTTCCAATAATGTTGTATATGTACAATTTTCCAATATCAGACATTTGAGTATGATTGTAATAAAACACTGCTTCTTCAACAGTTTTACAGAATAATCTATACAACCAGTCATTCCCCCATCTCCAGAAGAGTGATATTTTAGTGAAAAACTTGAAAAGGATTTATAAAGCATTCTTTTTTTTTTTTCCCCCTCCTTTAAAATATAATTTAAATTTATTATCATCTTGAAGTGCAGGACCATAAATAAATTGCTTTACAGTACATTTTTATGTGGCAAATCTGCATATCTGACACGGGCAAACATTTAAATTTTTCTCCCCTCTCTCTTTCTCCCCCTCAGTTTGGACAATAGAAAAACAATTAATTTCTTTTTCACTTTTAACCAGTGGTTACCTACTCCCCCACTCAAATATTTCATGTTCTAGAATGGTTCTTCAATGTTTCCATAGAAGATATCATGGAGGAACATTCATTTCATTTTAACACTCTTTGCAAAGGTGCTGAAATGAAGAATTCATTCAGCAAAGTTTATGCTCTGTTAGGCACTTAGCTGATCTTAATGAATTAAGGAAGAGGAATCCCATGGAGATGCATCTGTTTCCCTCATTGCATAGAGGTAGGATAGATTGATAGCACTAAAGTAGGTACCTAAATTATATACCTACTATGAGCAAGGACAAATCTAAGCAAAATCATAGGATTCCTTCCCTCCTTCCCTCTTTCCAATTTCCTTATACAAGCAAATAGGGACTCAGTTTTAGTTTGTTTTCTTGCCTTGATGGCAATGTTCTTACTGATCTCAAGAGGGATAGTACCATGCCATAACTTTCAAAGCTGAGGATGATCTTGTTAATCAGCTCCCTACAACATACCTGTAAATGATTTTGGATAGTTTTTATAACCCCTAGGTTGATAAATCTAAAGCGGGTCATGCAAGATGTAAGGTATTTTAACTAGCTCTAGTAGATGATAATGTGTATCAGAACTTTTATCCCTGTTTTCCTTTTTATCTAGTTTAGAAAAAGAAACACTTCAAGGGCATGATTCATTGTTGTTTTGAGGTAAGATGAAGAGTACACCATAAGTGCCTCTTTCTCTCCACTGATTATAGGAAGAAGAGGGTGACCAGTCCAGTTATAGTCATGTGCAATACAAAATACCACCATTAAATTTCAGCTATTATCCATGGAGAAAGACAGGCACTTCCAGACGATCCCTTCCAGCCATCCTAGGCATTTGGTGTGCAGGACAGGTGGCCACCCATATGTCTCTAGTACTGTCTTCTCAGGTCCTCCATATCGTCTTTCAGGAGAGTCCAGACACCCTATTGGTTTCTTGACATATCTGTCAAAACTATGTGGCTGTCTTGGACACCCTAAAACATCTCAAATAACTATAAATGCTTACACATGGACAACTATATATATATATATATATACATATATATATATGTATATATATGTATATATATTTCCTGCTGTAGAAACAGATGAATTGTCTTTTGGAAGAAAAGATAGTATTATGTTGATTTTAAAGAGTTTGATGGTCAGTATAACCCCACTCTACAATATCAATCCTCCCTAACTTTCTCAATAAAATGATGTGAGAGAAACAAGAAAATGAATTGAATGAAAGTCTTGTTGAAGAAGTCAGAACATGGCTGGGAAATGCCTCGTGACTCAGAGGCTTGAGCTCAAACTATGCCCCCAATGTTTTCTTTGTGAGGATATGTGCTGGGTGGTGAACTAATATTTCAAAATATGCAGTTATTAACCACTTAGCTGCTGTGGACTGTACCAATCTGTCTTACATGTTATTTTGGTTTTATTTTATTTTATTTTTTCTGTAAATGAGTGGATTCCGTTAGACCTCTGCACCTCAGATGGATTTCTGAAAACAATAAAGCTGCAGAAACAAGCTGTTGAAGAAAAAGCATCATAAAATCATGGCAACACAAAAGGTGACTCCGATTGCCTGCATTGATCCTGTTGAACAGAGACCCAGGTATGGCAGACTGCAGTGTTGTGGGACCAAGGGCTGAGAAGATAGAAGAAAGAAGCCCATGCAGTCATTTAATCTGAAGTTCATGAAGGGATCAGGGCTCTTAATTAAACTATCAAGTATGGATTCTTTTTCCCCATTTAGTTTGCCATGCTCTTCTCACAAAAGACACCTTAGCTGCTTGAATGGCCAGGACAGATTCCTAACAGGTTCTGGTCTCATTCCAGTGCAGCTTTATTGTACAATCCCACGTGGAGATATGCAGCCCTCAATACCAGACAGTTCATTTGTCTCATGACCCATGGATTCCTCTCTTGTCAGGTATCCATATTATTTTCCCTATGATGTCTGGATCAGGCATTTCTGATAGATCAGAAGAAGCCCTTCTTTCAATCTATCCAGCATGTGAGCAAAACCAGTATGCTGGAACTGCATGTCCCACAACCGATGTTCTGGCCCTAACTGTGCTGCCAGAGAAGAAAGTGCTTCAAGTTAGCCTGTGACAAATTTCATGTGCCACCTCAGCCAAGTCCAGAAGTGCTTATAAAAACAGTGTTAGTGTATCATTCAGAACAATCAAATACTACGTGCACAAAAAAGTAGTTTAGAGCAACATAAATTTAAAAAAAGTGACAATTTCATCACACAATTACTGTACACTGCTGTTCTTAAGATTGAATACTTTCCTCTCTCATGCTCTCTCTTTCTCTGTTTTAATCTGTCTCTTTTTTTCTTTCCTTTTTCTTTTTTTTTTCTTTTTTTCTTTTTTTTTGTTTTTGTTTTTTTTTGTTTTCCCCCCCCTTTTTTGGATTTGGTCCACTGGAGATAAATCGCCCTCAATGATATATATATTTAAAAAAAATATCAGCAGCAAGACTCTCTTGAAATAGATTCTGTTTGATGTAGCTAGTCTGTCTTTTCTGTTTTGCCCTCTTTCACAGCAGCCTCTGAAGTTTTCCGCAGGGGGGCTTTCTCCGAGTTGGCGTGTCCTTGGCCGGATTCCGCCGCTCCTCCGTTTTTGTGCGATGTGTGCTTTTCCAAGTAGTTCAGCATTTCACTGAGAACAGTTTGGAAAGTGCTTAGGGCAGCACATATTGCAGGAGTTCCAAAACCATGAGTGATCAAACTACAAATGGGAAGGAGAAAGAAAGAGAAAAAGAAATACACACACACACATAAATATATTTGCACTCACATACGTCAAAGAGTTTACAGTAAGCTGATTTTGCTATAGTGAAATTCAAGATTTGCTCCCTAAACTATTTATTACTTACAGGAGAAACAGAGAGGAACAAAAAAAAAAAAAATAGAGCAGCAGAGCAGACTACACACAGCTTCAAAGGTTGTTTTTGGTAGAAGTATCACTTCTGAAACACCGTGGGACAGATCTGCGGCTGATGCAAATTGACACAGTATTTTTGACTTCAGAGAGACCAAGAGAAATCCATGCCCAAGACCCTGCAGCATTGCTACTTTTCTTGTCCCAGAAGGTTTGGCTCCCTTCTTTCTCAGGTATATGAAACCAGTTCTGTGTGGTTTATCCAATCTCCCAGGTCAGACTGTTAAACAACAAGCTTTGATTATCCTACATGGAATTATGTATAGTTGCATATGTATTAAGAAATTATGCAATGCCAGGGCAATAGCCACAGTTTGGTCTTGTCTATGCTGCTAAACCCTCTGAATATCCAACAGTGGGGAATCCAAACTGCCATTTGGGAATAGCTCCTGGCCATTGCTAAGGCCCAACAATACCCAGGAAATATTTCACCTAGGGCTAGTTCAGCTAGGCTAAATCCACAGATTTTCCTAACAAATTAATAGTAAAAATACCCAAGTTCCAACATTTCTTGCTGTGGTGGTGTTGAATTTCCTAGAACAGATTTACCTCATTGCATCTTTCACCTAAATAATGTGTTTTCTCAAGTTAATGCTGAATTTGTTCTTGTTTTCCTGAACTGCAAAGCAGGTGATTTTCACTGTTGCTCCTCACTTAATAATAACTGAAATTATGTATTTGTGGAGTAGTCAGGCAGTCTGATGGTAGGTTAATTTAATTTAAATTTAAAGAAGCACTTAGTTGCACCCATAGATATCTATAGTCACTTGAGATGCTTTTGGGCATCTGTCTGGCTTCCACTTGCAGATACAGGAGCATGCATGTTTGTTCCTGTGTCAGATAACAGCTTTGCAAGGGTTTTGGAAATGGTACCAGAGACCACTCTTTAGGCAACTGACTCCAGCCCTGCCTGCTTAAATGCTACGTGTACACTACAAGTTGTTCACATAAGACTCAGGGCATCTCATGTGGTACTAGACACCTTCATATGGGCAACCAAATTCTTTTAATCATTGTAATAAATCATTTTGATAACTTGTAGGAAAAACAAGAACAGAAACAGAAGAGAAAGCAATGAACCAACTAACCAAAAATCTTTAATGATTTTTAACTTTCATATAGAAACATAAGTGGAAAATTATTTCAGAGGTTGAAATGTCATTGCAGTATTTAAAATATTTATTTCAGACATCCCAGTTCTGCTTAGGGAAGAAGAAAACAAGGAGAGGATAATAAGCTGATTTTTGACTCTGCAGATATTTTTCAGAAATCAATATTTTATATTGGTTTGGGTGAGGGAGAAAAAACACATTACAGTGATTCTTCCAAAACAATGACTACTTCATCTCATTCTAGTTAAGATTTTGCCCTTATGGTAACTCTCTGGGTGTCTGAGGCACCATCTCAGTAAACCCTGATCTAAAACAGAGAGCCACACATAGGTTAGAAATGGGAACATTGCATTTCAGTGAGAATTCCTCTCCTCTGCATTTTGGCTTCTTAGTCTTTCCAGCTGTTTAAGAAAACAGTAGAAAAACAGTGGCCCAGGGAATAGACGTTATACAAAACGTGGACAATTGCCAGAATACTGGACATATGGAAAACAAATATGGGAAAGGTTCCAACATGTTCTTCAGGGTGATCTTTCTGTCTCTGCTGGACATGGGAATCTTGTTTGCTAGGAATGCCAGTATCCTAAGAAAGAAACCAAACTTATATGAGTCCTAACCAAAATAAGAACTCAGTGGGGAAATACGTCTCTGTTTCAGATTGGGAATGGTCCAGTCTTTTGTGAAAGGTCTCCCAAAGGCGATTAACAAATAACTCACTTTTAGAATGTTTATCTATCAGTCTCCAGGCACTTTTCAAGCAGGAAATTATGTTTATCTCCAGTTAGTAATGAGAGGAAAATGATAATTAAATATTTATAAGGACTATTTTGCAGACATCAATTAATGATACCACATGACTCTTGAAGTTTGGACTCTTGAAATTTGGATTTATAGTAATATCTTTATCTTTTCAGTTTAAAATTGTAGAGAGGTAAAAATATATGGCTTTAACTTCAAACTTTTCATTTGTTTGTTTTTGAGAAATGTTTGGCTTACCAAGAAAAAAAAAAATCATTATAATTGTCTGATGTTTTTAATACTTGCAGAAACAATATCAACCATAGCATACAGATAAGATTATTTTTAGCACTTTCAATTCTGATATTTATGAGTCAGGTGATTTCAAGATTTTGTGTTGCACTTTATATTCATTTCTGTCTTTCATAAGTCCAGAAAAATGAAAATGTGAAGAAGCTAAGATTATTAGAGAGCAAAAAAAAAAAAAAAAAGTCCCAAACTATCATTATTAGTTATAATATTTTGTGATTTTTACAGTGTTTGTATGATCTTCTGTGTCCTGTTTGCGGGAACTGACTATATTGAGAGATGTATAAGATATTAATGATCTTGTGTGTAAAATAAAACACTTTATCAACTTTAACAGTTGACAATACCTGCAATCATTAATTTCCAGCAGACAGGAATGCTAAGTTTAAGAAAGTATTGAATAGCAAAGAATTCTCCTGGTCTGCTTGTCTTTGAACATTTCCACTCGAGCAAAAGAAATAGTACTGTGTTCATATATTAGTTCAATACACCCTGAAGAACAAAGTTGGAGTACTGTAGTGAAACCTTACAGAGATTGGCTCAGAAAAAAACATCCATAGGGTCAAGAATGAGGGTAGAAGATTTAAATGTTCTCAAATGCTGAAAAAGACTGTAGAAAACAGAATGGGACAAAGTCTGATATTAAGATATGTAAGCAAAGACGTCAACTTGTAGCTGTATCCGTCAACAGTGCCTAAGCTTCCATTACAATCAAAGAAGACTCAAGTCAGTTTCTTATGCATAAGAGTCTTCATTGATTTGAGATGCCCTATGGCACCTACAACGACAGCACAGAATTAGTAGACATGATATAGAACTTAAGTTCACCTTGCTTCTACGTGTTTTGAGGCCATGCAGGTTATCTTTGTGCATCTTTGTGCACTGGTACTATACAACGATGTTTAGGCAACTGAATTGTGCCCTGGGGATTTCTTCAATATTGTCAAAGGTGTGTAGAGTATGACTAAGCATATGAAAAGCCTCTTTTATGATAAGCTACACCATTTTTATTATTTATTTTATTTATTTTATTATTATTATTATTTTTTCTTATTTTATTTTCTGGCTATGCCATGGATTTGAACAAGAATATATGGTGGCTTTTTAGATGTCTTATAGTAACAAGATATTTGTGCCAGTTGAGCAGGTAATGCAGAGGGCTTACAGGAGCATACTCTTTTAAAGCAGCAATGGGCTGATGGTATACCTTGTAGTATCTAAAAATATGTCTCATGTTAATGTTTGTTAAGTTATATCTTTCCATAGATATAGTGAAATGGAAAGCCTAAACAACCAGTTGATATGAAGACACCTTGATATTAGTATTTCATACTGGACAGAATCTTCAACTTCTTGTGTGAAAACTGAATTTCACAGGAAAAGAATTTTGTGGAGTGAGTTATGCATCTATCACCTTTACAGATCTGCTTTTTAAGCTTTTACACACCACAAATAATCCAAAATCATTTTTTTTCAAGGCAGATTTGTATTTATTATTAAACAACAGCAACCAACCAGCCTTGAAATGGCAGTGCAGTCTCATGACAACTCATTTGATTCCTGTTGAAAGTATTCTTCCCCACAGACGGAGATATGCAAAGCCTATTAACTTTCCCATGATACTTATTGAAAGAAACTATTTTATGGAAAATTTCTGACCAGCCCTCCATGGCACACTCCTGTGAGGATGTATTTTTTTTAGCCCTGTTTTATGTAATGAGCATAAAAAGGCTGAGAGATATTATCTTCTATTTTATCTTACATTTTTATGAGTAGCTCCCATTACTCTAACTTTGGTGATCTTTTTTTATCTACAAGTCTTTGAGAAATCTAAGAAAGACAGATAATTTCTCTTTGCCAATGAAAGTAAGTTTCAAGTTGGGAAGAGATTCTGATTTTACACTGAAATCCAAAGTGTGACCGGCAGAAGACTAATGGCAAAGCATTAAAACACACTTCCTGAAAGTCACATTTAAATGCATGATTTTTAGACTGACAGCTCCCACTAAATTCAGTTCACTTTTGTTTGTGAATTGAACCCCATCTACTAAGAGGGTTGCTTTCATTGTAAGACTGTCTTTTGGGTTTAAGATCCTAAAATTAAACTTAGAGTTTTTATAGTAGAATCATCTGAGTATTCTCAGTGTTCTAGTGCATTTCATTGCAACCCCTAAAAGCAAGAAATTTTATTGTTCTAAAATGTAAGGTTAAAATGTCTGATTTGGTACTGTTTATGAAGAGATGCAGAAAGAATGCAATGAACAGCAGGTCAACATATTATAAATCCTTATGCTTAAAGACATCCAGACCAGCCTGCAATCCTGCTCAGTGCTATGATGCAATTATGTATGCTCATATTTTAATGATGGCCTTACTTAAAAATGAAAAGATCCAAGTATGCCTGAAGGCTTGGACTATTATTTGGCAGCTACCTCAAGGACTTCTCCATACCCTAGGCTGGTGAAACTTCAACATGCAGCAAAAGAAACAGATTCCCTCTCTGGGGGGTGAAGGGGGGAGGGAAGAGGCCATCTGCACAGACTGTTTACACCCTCATTTAAAATAAATAAATACTTTAAAACAATAATAATGATGAAGAAAAAGCAAGCTTGAACATATTGTTTGGAG